ACCCCTGGGGAGGAGGGCATTCCTCCTGAGATTCACTTCCCCTCCCCCCTGCCGGGACACCATTGGACTACAAAGCCACCACTGCCAGTGGAGAATGGGCGCTGTAGTCGGGGACCCGCAGAGCAGAGGTTTCCGCAGCGCCTGCTTTTGGCGCAGCCAGAGGCGGGGTGGCCATCAACAGAGCCTCCATGTTCAGGGGCATGATGCCAGGCGCCGGAAGAAAAAAAAGGGTGCCGACGGGGCCCCTCCACCTGCCTTGAGACCAAGGGCAAAATGGCACCGTTTTTCCTGAGCACCCCTGGGCAAAACAGGTCTGCCCCCCCATGCCTGGGCACCCCGAGGTCTGCAAGGAAGACTTGGGGGATATCAAGAGGGAGAGGAAGAGGAGGAAGAGGAGTGAATTTCAGGAGGATCTTCCTTTTGGGAGGCCCTTGCTGGAGAAACTTCGCATTCCTGTCCGGGAGTGGAGACCGGCGCCCAGCACCAAGAGTCTTCATTGCCGTTGAGGCCTTCCCCCTCCTTGGGTCCACCCGTTCCAGGCCTGCCGAGTCCACTGGGCCCCTCAGAGGCTGCGCCGTCTGGAGCCACCCCCTGCTTCTCCTCCTCGCTGGGGGGAGGAGGCCCGGCCAGGAGGCCCCCTTGTTCTTGCAGGCCTGGCCTCGTTTTGAGCCCCACGGCCTTCAGGATGGCGTCCATCTGCTTCATGTAGTCCAGGTGGCCGTTCACCTGCGGGGGAAACCAAAGCCGAGGGTCAGACCCTCCTCAGGGCAGAAGCAGACGGTCCTGAGCCGGCTCCCCAAACCCTCGGAAATTAACTCAGATTCTTTTATTAGGAAGGCTAAAAGCTAGGGTGGGGCTTCACTAGCAGCGGCGGCTCTTCCGTCCCAAGGACCGGCCCATAGATTTCCAGTGCCCTCCTCTCCTCTGCCTTCTGAGCATCCCTGTGTCAGGCACCGGACTCAGCTGTTCCTCCTCTTCCTCATCAGCCACCTCCAGACCTGGGGGTTGTTGGTCCTCCATCTGAGGGCTGACGGATGGCCCAGGCTCCACCCCTCCTTCCCTCTCTCTCTCTTTCTCTCCATTCTCTCTTCCCCCTTGGGGCTTCCAGGTTGCCCTGATGGACTCCCGTGCCTCCTCCTCCTCCTCTGATTTGGCTGCTGGAGGGGCCAACACAGGCCACAACACAGACACTCCTCCCCCTTCAAAGGGACCCCTGGGCCCAGCCACACATCCGGTGACCTCTTACTTGAGGGGGAGCACTGGTTCCCCAAAAGCTCAACTTGCAAAGTGAATGATCTCTGCCGCCAGACTTGACGGAAAAGATCAGGTAGGGCAACCTAAATCTGTTCTGTTTGATCAACCCTTCGGTACCGATGGATCAAATCAGGTTAAACTTCATCCACAACATTTCGGGCTACGTTGGATCCAAATGGGTTGATTCATTCCTGTTTTTTTTTTTCCACAACTGTAATTAAAATTAACTGAGCCCCTCACCCACAACGCTGCCGAAAGACATTTTGTCACGCATCCTGGTGGGACGGTTCCGAATGTGGACGATGGGCAGTTTCTCTCTCTCTCTCTCTCTCTCTCTCCCCAGAATACAGGGATATGCTACCCCTATTCATGGAGGCTCCACTTAAGTCCCGTATTTAACACGCCTCGGTTGAACCCCCTCGGCCATGTGCAAAAAGGAGGGGCTGGAAGCTCCCTGGCACCTGGAGATGCCCATATTTGTCCCGAAATGTCAAAAAGGGTTTGGGCTCCCCTGATCCTCGGCTTTAGCGGCCAATCTGCCGCGACAGACAATTCTCTTGCCTTCCACTGTTTTCTTTTCATTTTTAGCAAGGCTGGAGCGTTAATTAAAAAACCTGTCGAAGCCCCACCACCTAATGCTGCTCCGATCTCCTGATGCCAGCCGGGAGCTCAAAGGGTGGCGAAGAAAGCAGATGGCCCTGAAATCAATCGTGGCTTAGCCCCACAATCCTTCAGAAATAACGCGGGAGGGGAGAGAGGATAAAGGCACCGTTTGGCCCAGAGGAACCCGAGGCATCCCTAGAGGCCAACAACTCACCAAATGTGCAGTGCAAGACACACACACACACCCGTCGTTTCCGCTGCCAAACCCCCCTTTCTGTTTTTTTTTCTCGGAAGTCGTTTCGCTTCTCCTCCCAGAAGCTTCTTCAGCTCTGACTGGATGGTGGCGGGGAAGGGAAGGGTTTATATTCCTTGAAGACAGCTGGTCGTTTGCATCCTTTTTAGAGAGCCGTTGAGGCCTCTGTGAGTCCTCAGAATCACCCGAGTGGTGCAAATGGATGGGGAGCCTTCTACAACGCAGCTTCTTTCAACGGTTCCAAGGCGGCTCCACATCCATTTGCACCACTTGGGTGACCCTGAAGACACAGATAAACCTCCAAGTGGCCTCAAGGACCCTTTAAAAGGAGGCAAATGACCAGCTGCCTGCAAGGAGTATCAATCCTTCTATTCCCCACCATCCAGTCAGAGCTGAAGAAGCTTCTGGGATGAGAAGCGAAACGTCTTTAAGGAAAAACCAGAAAGCCCAGTTGCCTCTTGGGGGGAAAAAATCTCCGTCGGGACAACCATGACCCGATTGAGACTCTCCATAGACATTTAGCTTCTGGGAATCACATTCTGGGTGAACTGACACAGGGGAAAATAAATGTTTTCTCACTGCCATAAGATGTGCGGACTTCAACTCCCAGAATTCTGGAATTCTGGGAGTTGAAGTCCACACATCTCAAAAGCCGCTAAGGCTGAGAAACACGGTTTCATGGCTGTATTCAGACCACCTAAAAAAAAAAAAAAAAAAATCCTTGCATCTCTTCAAAACCACGGATCGCCCCTTTGCCGACCTCTGAACCTTGCCAGATCTCCACAGTTTGCTTCCCCATGACTTACAATGGAAGACAGATCCACATTCACCATCCGGCGGTCATCCAGGCAGACGGGCTGAAGCCCTGCGACGTTCAGCTGAATGGACGCGGTGCGGTAGACGAACCTCAACAGCCAGTCTCCCCTGGTGGAGGAAGAACGAGACAGGGGGGACCTTGTGCTTCTCTGGCAGCCTGTGCAGACGGCAGCGGAATCGGACAGGGGGGACGAGGGTCCTGCATCCGATGGAGAGATGGGGCTAGGACCGTCTGGGAGTGGGGCGCTGCCTCCGAGCCTTCAGAGTCTGGCAGCGGTGAGGGAGATTAGCAAGGGGAGCCTGTTCCCAGCGCGTGTGTGCACAGAGCTGCTAGAAGGTGAGAGCAGCTGAGACAAAAGGGACGACTCGGGAGTAAGGCTAGGAGATGATTGCCCCTGCCATAAGGTATAAAGGACAGGCAAAGGGAGAGAAACCTTTGCAGGAAGCAAAGTCATTCGCTCTGTTCGGATTAAACCTTGAAGCTCTGTGTGGACTTTATACTTCAGTTGTTTTTTTTATAATTCATTTGACACTCTAGTTGTTGGCAGCCATTCAAAGAAGAGAAAGGTGGGTGCTTATCTCAGGGGACTGTTTGGGACTCATTACAGGCTGGGAAGGCACATAATTCCCAGCGTTGAAATAAAACAAGAGTTGTTTGGACTAAGCATGTGGACTAAGCCTTGGTCAGAACAGTGGAATGGCGCTGGATTCACGTGTTCGCTAGAGTCTGGAGAACATGTGTGGGACATGGGACTGACATCTTTAACAATGGAGAGGCTACCAGCCAGAGCCCAGGATGGGCCGAAGATGCAATCTGCTGAAATGGCAGTAGGCCACAGTTCTCTCTCCATTCACCCAAGACTGGCCACAAAGGAGATTTTAAATCCCAGAGCCTTCCTGATTCTATCTCGCCAGTCATCTGCAAACAGGTTAACTGTCATTGTGCAAGCAGTTCCTATATTTCGGGACAGAGGTCCCCCAATCTGTGGGCTGCGGTCCATGACCGGGATGTGGCCCGTTCAGAACTGGGTCACGCAAGCGGCTGGCTGGTGCACACGCGCGTACAGCTCGACTTGTGTGAGCAGTGGGCAGACTTCCATGTATGCACACACAGCTCAACAGGCGCGGGCAGCATGGGCCAGTTCCCCTCCCCAGGCCGCCAAGCTGATTAACAGAGTTGGAAGAGGCCTTGTAGGTCATTTAGTCCAACCCCCTCACCCAAGCAGGAGACCCTACACCATTTCTGACAGAGGGCAGTCCAGTCTCTTCTTGAAAGGTTCCAGGGATGAACCTCCCACAACTTCCGAAGGAAACTTCTGTTCCATGGGTTGGTTATTCTCTCAGAAAATTCCTCCTTATTTCCAGGTTGAATCTCTCCTCGGTCAGTTTCCATCCATTGTTATTCCTTGTCTGGCCTTCAGGTGCCTTGGAGAATAGCTTGACCCCTTCCTCCTCCTCTCTGGGGCAGCCCCTCAAATATTGGAAGGCTGCTTTCCTGTCGCCCCTGGTTCTTCTCTTCACTAGACTAGCCAGGCCCAGGTTATGGACCACTGCTTTGGGATATAGATTAACTGGGGGAGGGGGGAAGGGGGGGGGACATGAGGACACCTAAATTTAATTTTCCCAATATTAAATCCAACCAAAGAGATCTCCTTTCAGGACATGGGTGGAAACTAATCAAGGAAAGAAGCAGCCTAGAACTAAGGAGAAATGTCCCGAGAGTAAGAAGAATTAACCAGTGGAACAACTTTCCATCAGAAGTTGCAAATGCTCCAACACTGGAAGGTTTTTAAAAGATGTTGGATAACCGTTTGTCTGAAATGGTATATAGGGTTTCCTGCCTGAGCAGGGGCTGGACTGGAAGACCTCTAAGGTCCCTTCCAACTATTCTGTTCTGTTCTATTCTCCTTCCTTCTCCCCTCCTTCTATTCTATTCCATTCTATACTGTATTCTATTCTATTTTCTATTTGTTATTCCATTCCATTCCATTCCCTATTTCTATACCATTCCATTCCTATTCTATTCCTACTCTCTATTCTATTCTATTGTTTATACCTATTCTATTCTATTCTTTTTTCCTATTCTATTCTACTTTCTTCTATTCTATTTTTTTCCTATTCTTTTTTCCTATTCTATTCTATTCTATTCTATTCTATTCTATTCTATTCTATTCTATTCTGTTCTGTTCTGTTCTGTTCTGTTGTTCTGTTCTATTGCATTCTATTCTCCTTCCTTCTTCCCTCCTTCTATTCTATTCTATTCTGTTCTGTTCTATTCTATATTCTATTCTATTCCTATTCCTTCATTACTCTATTCCATTCTATACTGTATTCTATTCTATTTTCTATTTGTTATTCCATTCCATTCCCTATTTCTATTCCATTCCATTCCTATTCTATTCCTACTCTCTAGTCTATTCTATTGTTTATACCTATTCTATTCTACTATCTTTCTCCTATTCTATTTTTTCCTATTCTTTTTTCCTGTTCTATTCTATTCTATTCTATTCTATTCTATTCTATTCTATTCTATTCTATTCTATTCTATTCTATTCTATTCTATTCTATTCCTTCATTCCAATATCTATTCTGTTCTGTTCTTATTCTAATTTCTATTCCTATTCCTATTCTATCATCAGCCTAAAGCCCGCGGCTATCTCCTGGGTGAGAGGTAAAGTCACAGTGGAGGATCAACATTTGAAAAGCCAATTTTCATGGAAATTAGGAAACTTCCTGTGAGAGGAAAACAGAAAAAAAGAAAAGAAAACGTGCTTGTGTGTCTGCTCCACTGTTGGGATCAACAATACCTGCAGAAGCCATTGATGATCCTGCCTGAAATGACTTTGGTGATCTGTTTCCAGGATTTGGGATCGCCGTCTACCGGGGCCCCCAGCAGCACCACGTCTTCAACGATCCCTTCGCAATCTGAAAGAGACCCACACCAAGATCAGCCCCGTGCAGGGGTGGGATTCAGCCGGTTCAGACTGGTTCCGGATGAACCGGATGTTAAGTTTGCATCTGGTTTGCCGAACCAGTAGTTGAACCGACCGGCCCACCATTTTGGATGCAGGTGACTGCAGGGTCTGCGCAGAGGCTCTGGGAAGGGCGGAAAATAGGCCTTCTGGAAGTATTCCATCAGTCTTTTTTGTTGCCAGCAGAAAGGGAGTGGGGGAAAGCAGTGCATTCCTTAAATGCCTCAGATAAATGCTAGGCAGCCGAAGCTGTTGGTGCGCAAGATTATTACTGGAGATGGCTATGGATGTGTCTCATTGGAGAATATACATCCACGGGGTGGCGGGAAGACCAGGGTCAAGGGTAAGATGAATGTATCTTAGTGTCGGCTGCAACCAGGAAACGCCGACATGTCAACTCCTAATAAATCAATTTTTTTTTTTACTCTGAAAGATGCGGCTAGAGACTAGTGATTTGAATGGGAGTGATTGGAGCCCTGACACGGGCCTGTTTCCGGCTTCTGGAAGGCCTCTAGAACCTGGGGGAGGCCGTTTTTTCCCTCCCAGAGGCCCGAGGGAAGCCTCCGGACTCTGGAGAAGGCAAAAAATGGCCTTCCCGGAAGTTCTGTTAGGCCACGCCCACCCAGGAACCAGGTAGCGAACCGGTTGCTGGGATTTTTGAATCCCGAAGGAACCCGTTGAGCTTCTGATCCTCCTGCAGGGATCCAGGCCCGCCCCTTCGGAGGAAAGCCTGAGGTCTAAAAACCACTAGAAAGGTAGGATCCCTTCCTCTTCTCCCTATTGTCCTTCCTTGGGAAGACAATCCAGATTGATCCACTGAAGCTGAGTTGGGATCGGGGATCGACCGTCTTAAAATAGAATCGGTTGCTTTCTTTTCACGTCATCGCAGGCCGTCCTCAGTTTCCGGCCACAGTTGATCCCAAGATTTCTGTTCTTAAGTAAGACGCTGGTTGGGGGGTGACTTTCTCCCCATTTTACGATCTTTCCTGCCACAGTTGCTAAGTAAATTGCTGCAGTGGTCTAAAATTAGTGCCCGTGTCGTTAAATGAATCTGGCTTCCCCGCCAACTTTGCTCATCAGAAAGTCGCAGACTCTGGGACACAGCGACCGTCATAAATAGGAACAAGTGTCAGATGTTGCGACGGTTGTAAGCAAGGTGTCAGGATTCCAGCAGTCACTCTAATTAAATCATGATTCTCGAGCCAAACTTCAAAAAACTTTCAAAGGATTCATTAGAGACGACATAGTGGCACTGCCCTGTATGAAGCCAACTCTGGCATAGGTAATTTACAATCCTCTGTGACTCTGTTTCCGCCCCCAGGTGTCTCATAAACCAGATTCTCCAATTGAGCACCTTCACGGGCTGGGTGTTATCAATCACCTTCTCCAATTAAACATATTTGCTGGCAAAAGCTCTGGTAGTTTAGTTACTACCTTTAAAGAGAAGAGTTGCAATGTACTTTCGCTTTCCCCCCCTTTTTATGGCAACTACTAAAACAGGCATAGGAATGTTTTAGAAGTCGACACATGGAAAAATGATCCTAAGCACTTTCTTCAATGCTGTCGTAACTTCGAACAGTCACTGGAAAAACTGTTGTAAGTTGAGGACTACCTATACCACAGCTACCCAGCCAAACAAAAATAAAAAGACGAAACTAAAAAGAAAGTCCCAAATAACCAAATAAAATAATTTATTGCCAGGTGCCATAAGACAGAACACTAATCCTGGCTGTGTGGAAACTTATAAGCAACTAATTTCTGCTGTTTTCCGTATTTCTTTTGGTTGGCTTTTTGGTTTGGGTTTTCTGTTTTGTGATTATTTTTCATTTGCCGTTGTGCTCAGCTTCCTTCCCACTGGAGGAAGCGTCTGCCTTTAAGAATGACGGAAACAGAACTCAAAGAGATTCAACTCAGAATTTGTAGGCCACACACGTTGCAACGATCCTGGAATCTCAAAAAGCTGCAATGAATTGTCCTGGAACCATGACGGTAACTGTTGGGATGGGAAAGATAATTCTCTGGCAGAGAGAGAGGAGAACTGGCTACCAAGGCAACAATCCAGGGTTAGAAACCTCGAGCAATGCAGAGCCAAATTCTCTCTCTCTCTCTCTCTGAAATCTTCTGGAGGAAAACTGCCTCCTGCAGACCTGATCCATAAATCTCCCTTCCTCGGCAGGAGAAAAATGAAGTCAGACATTGCAATGGCGATATATTTTAGTTAGGCAAGATGGAGAATTATTGAGTCTGTCATCTGCACCTCTATAACTGTCTGGTTTGGCTCTGCATCCCAACAGGACAGACACAGACTTCAGAAGTTAGTTAGGACTGCAGAAAAAACAACTGCTACCAACCTGCCTTCCATCGAGGACCTGTATACCGCACAAGTCAAAAAGAGGGCTGTGAAAATATCTAGAGACCCCTCAAATCCTGGACATAAACTGTTTCAACTCCTACCCTCAAAAGGACGCTATAGAGCCCTGCACACCAGAACAACTAGACACAAGGACAGTTTTTTCCCGAATGCCATCACTCTGCTAAACAAACAATTCCTTCAACATTGTCCAACTATTTACAAAGGCTGCACTACTATGACTATTAACCTTCTCACCACTCCTTATCCCATCCCCTCCCACTCGTAACTGCATGACGGTAACTTTGTCGCTTGTATCCTTACAATTTATATTGACTGTTTCCTGGTATAATTTGATTGCTTATTTTTACTCTATGACTATATTCTATTTACTATGGCTATATAACCCTGTGACTATCGTTAAGTGTTGAACCTTATGATTCTTGATAAATGTATCTTTTACTTTATGTACACTGAGAACGTATGCACCAAAGACAAATTGCTTGTGTATCTCTCTTGGCCAATAAAGAATTCAATTCAAAACTCTATTCTATTCTTCTTCATTCCATTTCATATTTTCTATTCTATTCTATATTCTATTCTACATTCTACGTTCTATTCTACATTCTATTCTATATTCTGTTCTGTTCTGTTCTTGGTTCTATATTCTATTCTCTATTCTCTATTTTATATTTTCTATTCCATTCCATTCCGTTTTATTATTTGCAAGAAGCCCGAAGGCTGGACCACCTCTGACTTTTCCACAGCACCCGCTGCATCTCTCAAGCAACTGTCAGGATTTAATTCCTTCCCTTTTTTTGCCAGCCACGGGGAAGAGCGGGGTGTCGTGGGAGCGGGAGGCATCGTTAATACCTGGATCTCCGTCTGTAAGGATGACAGATGGTGGGTCAAGACTGAGGATATTTTAAGGGAAAGAGAACAGGCTGGAGAGGAAGTTCGTGGGATGAACGAAAACTGTTGCTGGGGAGATTGGAGCTCAGCAAGCTCACATCGGTTTGGTCGTCCGCATCGAGAAGTTGCCGGGGGGCGGGGGGTCAGCTTCAGAGCAGGAACCCCAAAACTGGAAGTGGGGGGGCTGCTATCCTACCTTTCTCCTTGGCCATCTCCTGCAGGCAGAAGTAGATCACTCTGGCGCCAAGACTGAAGCCAACCAGGGTCACCGGCCGCTTGCCCTACAAGAGGGGGGGGGGGGGGGAGGAAAAAAAAAAGAAAAGGGCCCCCTTTTTTTGTTTGGTTTCAAAAACAGAAATCCGACACAAATAAGCAAACGAACAGCTGTCAAGTGTCAACCTCGAGGCTCGTGGGGGGCGGATCCATTCTGCAAGGGGGGCCTGCTCTGAAAAGAGCAAAGGACCGGCCCGCGGTGCCTCTGGCAGTGACAAGGGAACTCGGAGAGCCATGCGGCACTCGGGGCTCAGTTTCCTCTGGCAGAGGGCTGAGAATGGGGCGCAGGGGAGTGTGCAGGCCACCCCAGCTCGGCTTTTGCTGGCAGAAGGCCTATCAGAACCAACTAAAAACAAAAGGAGAAATATTTCCCCTTTTACATTGGAGCTTGCAAGAAGAGACAGGAAAGGAGAAAGGGAAAGAGGAAAGGCAAAGAAAAAGAAGAGATGGGAAGAGAGCCAAGATAGAATAGAATAAGAATAGAATTAGAACTGAATAAGATAGGATAGAATAGAACAGAAAATATGGAATGGAATGGAAAAGAATTAGAATTAGGATGGGATGGGATAGGATAGGATTCTTTATTGGCCAAGTGTGATTGGACACACAAGGAATTTGTCTTGGTGCAAATGCTCTCAGTGTACATAAAAGTAAAGATACATTTGTCAAGAGTCATAAGGTACAACACTTAATGATAGTCGTAGGGTATATAGTAAATAGAATATAGTCATAGAGTACAATAAGCAATCGAATCATACTAGGAAACATACAAATCAAAGGCAGGAAAAAGAAGGAAAGATGGGAAGGAAGAAGAAAGAAAGAAAGAAAAAAGAAAGAAAGAAAGAAAGAAAGAAAGAAAGAAAGATAGAAAGAAAGAGGAAGGGAAGGAAGGAAGGAAGGAAGGAAGGAAGGAAGGAAGGAAGGAAGGAAGGAAGAAAGAAAGAAAGAAAGAAAGAAAGAAAGAAAGAAAGAAAGAAAGAAAGAAAGAAAGAAAGAAAGAAGAAGGGAAGGAAGGAAGGAAGGAAGGAAGGGATATTATAATGAGAGGGGGGAGGGTCTGAGGGAAGTCCTGCCTCAGCCCTTGGCAGGTGCCTCCCTGACATGAGTGACATCGAGCTGGCCATGCTCACCCCGGCGATACACACCCCCCCTTCCCCGAGATAAAACACAACTCTGAAACCGAGTTTGACAACCCCTGAGCTATCATGTTTCTAGTCCTCATTTTGGGAGACGGCCTCCAGGAAATACCCTGTGGCAAGATGGCTGCCAGATAAAAGCGAGGACTAGAGGCCGAGAAGAGGCTTATTTGCTTTCAGGCTTTCTGAAACGAGGCAGTCCTTTTCCTAGTCGAGTTTTTTATTTTTCCACCCATGGTAGCAGTGAGGGGGGGGAGAATAATAGGGCAGGTGGGGGGAGCTGCATCTCAACACCCTCCTTACTGGGAATCCTCTGGCTTTGGAAGGAGAATCTGCTGCCAAGCCTGGATTTGGTTAGATGGTGGATTGGTTTACACCTGGGTTGTTCACATGAATCCAGTTCCCCCCGCTTCAGCTCCCAAGGGTGTCAGACAAGAGGGGGTCAAATTGGCTGCTTGCTGATGAAATTAACCCCCTGATAATTATTTCTTGTGCCAGGGCGTGATTTTCCTTGGAAGCCAATTTCTGACTTGGAAGCCGCCCCCGTTAAGTGCCTGGGAGTTTCACATGGATTCATACCAGTGGTGGGATTCTACCAGCTTCCCTACCGGTTTGGTAATCGTGCACTTTGCGCGCGCGTGTGTGTGTGTGTGTGCAGCTTTCCGAGCACCAGCTGAGTCTCTGCCGCGCCAATCAGCTGAGAGGATGAAGAAAAGCGCAGGTGGCGGGTGAGAGGGCCAATCCTGCGCTCTTCGCTTCTTTCGCCTCGGAGCTTTGGGGCCGAACCGGTAGCATTTCACCACGGATTTACCCCCGGATATAAACCAATCCACCATCTAGCCAGATTCAGGCCTGGCATGTGCCTTTCTACCAACAGGAAGGCAGGGTCTGTGTTATGGCCACCTTTCCTGAAATAACACATAAAAGAGGTTAACGTGGATGATATATATGCCTTTAAAGAAACCCCGTCAAGCAAGAGTGTTTCTCAGCCTTGGCTACTTTAAGATGGGTAGACTTCAACTCCCAGAATTCCCCAGCATGTAAGGTTTAAACCAGGCTGTGTTGGGGTTTGCCGGCAGCCTGTGCAGACAGCAGCAGAGTTGGACAGTGGGGAAGAACGGGGACCTGTCCGGGAGTCTGGGGAGGACTCGGACAAGGGTCCTGCGTCCGATACAGAGATGGGGCCAGGACCATCCGGGAGTGGGGTGCTGACTCCGGAGCCTGGCAGCAACAAGGCCGAGGAGTAAGGGGAGCCTGTTCCCAGGGTGCGTGTGCGCAGAGCTGCTAGAAGGCGAGAGCAGCTGAGACAAAAGGAGTAAGGCTTGGAGGTGATTGGCCCTCCCATAAGACATAAAGGAGGAGCAAAGGGACAGGAGCCTTTGCAGGAAGCAACTTTGTTCATACTGGTTAGTTTGAAACCTGAAGCTCTGTGAGGACTTTGTACTTCGGTTGGCTTTTTACAGTTCATTTGGCACTTTAGTTGTTGGCAGCCATTCAAAGGAGAGAAAGGTGGGTGCTTATCTCGGGGGACTGTTTGGGACTCATTACGGGTTGGGAATGAACATAATTCCCAGCGTTGAAATAAGAGTTGTTTTAACTAAACGTGTGCTTAATTACAGTCTCAGGAAGCCTTGGTCAGAACAGGTTGGAGTGGGGGGGGGGCAGATTTTCTTTGGCTTACCTGCCGCCGGCTGAGAAGTATCTGCGCCAAGTGTTTTCCCACCTCAGTGGAGCGATGGAGACACACACCCCAGGGGTTGTCAATCACACCAGCCACCGCCAGCAGCGAAGCAGGCCAGGTGAGGGCCGTCACAATCCCTGGGAGGAGGCAGAGCCAATGGGATGGGTGAAAAAAAAATTCAGAGAAAGGCCTGGGGGAGCTCGACGTAGCCTTGTGAAGCTGTGTGATTTCAGCTGCCATCATCCCCAAGGGACTAAGCCCACTTGGGGGTGAGAAGGGTGGGCAAAGAGCCACTGTGTCCACTTAGCAACGGAGATGTAAAGGGAGAACCAGGTTCATCCTTGAACAGGAGAAGAAAGAGATGGTCCCTCTACGTCTAGTTTCATGAAAAGAAGCCATATGGGATGACCCAAAGGGGCGTGGCACAAAAGCACAAAAGCAGGTAAAGTCCCTTTAATGCCTCCAACTTGGGCCCCAATGTCCAGTTATCCTCGGCTGGAGAAAAAATTCTCCCAAGAACAGTTTTTAAAGGGAAGAAATTCAGTCTGAACCTAAAGTACATATAAATTATAAATAAAAACCAACACAAACCATTTGCTGCAGCAATTAATGAGACAGGGCAGGATAAGGAATTGCAGAACTCAAAACATAACGAAACACACACAGTTGGGAGGACGCCAGAACCCAGATAAGACGTGACAAAGATAATTCACGCTTTGCTTCCAGCAAGGAGCTGTGCGCAAACACCCTCTTTTTCCTGTTTTCCCAGCTGCAGTTAATGAAGGGAATCAGGGCCTTTTTCTCCCCTGTAACCCATGTTGCTCCCTTATCCATTCCTCCCTGTGTTCCCTAGGATGCAGAGGGGATGGGCCTGGGTCTTCCTCTGAATGCCCAGCCAGACTTTGCCCTTCCCCAGTTTCCTCCACAGCCACCAGAGCAACACTCCCACTCCCTGTTCGCTGTTTGACCTCCCCCTCGGAATCAGATTCCAACAGGGGCATGATACCATGATCCAATATTTGAGGGGCTGCCCCAAAGAAGAGGGAGTCAAGCTATTCTCCAAAGCACCTGAGGGAAGGACAAGAAGCAATGGATGGAAACTAATCAAGGAGAGAAGCAACTTAGAACTAAAGAGAAATTTCCTGACAGAACAATTGATCGGTGGAACAACTTTCCTCCAGAAGCTGCGAATGCTCCAACACTGGAAATTTTTAGGAAGAGACTGGACAACCATTTGTCTGAAGTGCTCTAGCCTAAGCAGGGGGTTGGACTAGAAGACCTCTAAGGTCCCATCCAACTGTGTCATTCTATTCTGTTTTTTGGAGATGTCACAAAAACTATCTGGGCAGGCTGGTGAAGTCATAGAACATAGGATAGAGTCGGAAGGGACTTCGGAGGTCTTCTAGTCTAACCGCCTGCTTGGGCCAGAGACCCTAATTTACCATTTCAGCAGGGGTGGGCTTCAAAATTTTTACCAAGGTGGGCTGGGTGGGTGTGGCCATGGTGGGCGTGGCCTAGTAAGCCACCTGCACCATGACATGTGGGGGGGGGGGGGCGTTTTTGCTTTCCCCAGACTCCTGAGGCTTTCCTCGAGACTCCGGGAGGGCGAAAACAGCCTCCCCGGACTCCGGAGGCTCTCTGGAAGCTGGAAACGGGCCCATTCCCAGCCTTCCCAAACTTCCAGGAGGCCTGTTTTTCACCCTCCCTGAAAGCCTCCGCACACACCCTGCACTTACCTGCATTCAAAACGGGCCACGTAGGGACTCCTGGGAGGGGCGGGGTGGGTGGGAGTGGGATTTGGGGGTTGTCTGAACTGCACAGAATCTTAGCTGGGGGTTCTCCTGAACTCCTGAGAGCCCCCAGCCGCCCACCCCTGCGTTTCAGCCAAGACCCCCAAGCGGAGCTCAGCTTAAAAGGAGCCACGCTGGTTTTTCCACCCCAAAACAAGGCCTCCCTCAGCCCCTCGCTCACTCACCTGCCAAGACGGTGTACTTCAGGGCCTCCTGAGCCACCATGTTGACCAGCCCATTCCACAAGGTGTCCAGGGCGCTGCCCAGCTCCAGCAGGTATTTGGATTCCCAGGCTAGGCAGTATTGCTCCTTGGACTGTAAGAGGCTGCTCCAAGGAGCCGTGAAACTGCCTGCCAAGGGACCAAGGAGGGAGACAAAGGTGTGAGGACAGGCTGCGAAGAGGGCCTCTCACCACCGAGCCTCAGGGGTGGCTCCTGGTCCTCTTAAGGGCAGTGCGGGGCTTCGAATGGGCCACCCTGAGCCCTCAAAATGCTGCGGTGAGGAGGAGCATTCTTAACATAAGCAGAAAGACGTGTGTGTGAGAGAGAGAGAGAGACAGAGAGAGAGAGAGACAGAGAGAGAGTGTGTGTGTGTG